TGACTGCTCTTGTTGGAGAGCTTGTCGGTGCTCGTCTAATTTCTCATGGTGGTAGTTTGTTGAACCTCTCAAAGCAACCTGGAAGCACAATTCAGATTCTTGGAGCTGAGAAGGCTCTCTTTAGAGCCCTCAAGACCAAACATGCTACTCCTAAGTATGGTCTAATCTACCATGCCTCTGTTGTTGGCCAAGCTGGACCGAAAAACAAGGGTAAAATCTCACGGTCACTAGCTGCAAAAGCTGCTCTTGCTATCCGTTGTGATGCTCTTGGTGATGGTGAAGACAACAGTATGGGAGTGGAAAGCCGTTTAAAGGTACTCTTCTGTTTTTTTTCCTTTGATCATATCTATCTACACCACCTTGTTCTTTCTTTATTAATGGTTGCCTTGTTGTTTAATTATTTTGGGACAGCTTGAAACACGGTTGAGATCTCTAGAAGGAAAAGATTTAGGACGTCTGTCTGGCTCAGCTAAAGGCAAACCAAAGATTGAAGTTTATGACAAGGATAAAAAGATTGGATCTGGAGGTCTTATTACTCCTGCTAAGGTGAGATTAATTTCCACTTGATTGTCTCTTTAATTTGTTGTGCAACTGAGTTGGATATATCACTTAAAAGGATTCTTTTTGACTATTGTTTTGTGCAGACTTACAACACAGCTGCAGACTCTCTTCTTGGACAAACTTCCACAGCTGAGAACGGTGTCAAAGAGAAGAAAGATAAAAAGAAGAAGAAGAAGACTGTTGATGCAGAGGAAGAAGCCAAAACCGAGGAACCGTCTAAGAAGAAGTCGAAGAAGAAGAAAACAGAAGTAGAAACTGAACCTGAAGAGCCCAAAACAGAGGAACCGTCAAAGAAGAAGAAGAAGAGGAAACATGAGGAAGAAGAAACAGAAATGCCAGCCAAGAAGAAAGAAAAGAAGGATAAGAAGAAAAAGAAGAGTGAGGTCTGAAGAGAAGTTTAAAGTTTTGAATGTGTACGCTTATTATCTTTATAACGTTTTATCAGGAAAAACAATCCACAAAAAATGTCGTGTTTAAGTTTTGCTTAAGAACTGCTTATGGTTTTGTAAGGTAATGTGTTAGTCATTTTCCTAGAAACTTAAATTTCTATTTAACGAATTTGAATGAAGCAACTGATAAAGAGTTTGGGGGTGTGTGTAGTCACTTCCTGGTGAGGTTGGCTAGAGTTTTACTCTTTAAAATTTGTTCTAATCCGTAGTTTGGTGAAAGCTAATTTTCTATCATATACACTGTTTTAAAAACAGGTTCTTGATCCACAACATATAGAGTCTGTTAAAAGCCCAACTTAGTTCGTGGTGGTTGATTATGACGCTTCTTTCTTTTTCTTGGTTCTCGACATCTTCCCAATGTTTTGTTTTTTAATCAGAAAGACAGAATGTATCAGTAGTTTCTTAGCTTTTTTTGTCCCCTGTTTGGTCAACAATGCAGTCTTAATAATTGTGCTTCTTTGATTGGAGAGACTCTACCATTACCAAGCACTGTTTCTTACGATAATGAGAGAGATGCAAAATGTATCCTTTTTGTCCAGCTCGAATACATTCGTTTTAGTTAAAAACACAAAGATTAAAAAGATTATTACTTTCGAAATATAAGTAAAGTATAGATTAGATATTCATATAACTAAACCGATCATATAAATAGATATATATAATTTGATTGGTCACACCATATATTTAATAATGTAAAAGTTACCTAGAAATGCGAAAACTAATTACATTTTGAAACAATTTTCCTAAATTTAGATACAAGGAGTATTGTTAGTGGAAAACATATTTGTTGTTTCGTTGATTGAGGAAGTATTAAGTAGGCATTTCGGGTATAGTTTGGTTCGGTATTTTTGGTTATCCGGTAGTTCAGATAGGCGTTTAAAGGATCCATTTACAAAATGATATATTTTTGGTTCGATTCGGAAAGTTTCGGGTTTGGTTCAGATGGGATAATAAAATAGAAACCAGAAAGTACCCAAAAAAATTCGGTTCTCATTTGGTTCCGGTCCCGATTTGGTTAGTTCAGATAGTTAGCATTAAATATTAGGTGTTTTGGGTAATATAATGAATAATTACGATAGTTCAGACAAAAATCTCTAACAGGTTGGATTAGTTTTGATATTTAGAATAAAAATATCTTAAAACTTTCAAATAATTTGGATACTTTATCATAATTTAATTTTTTTAAACTATTTTTGGGTACTTTTAATAAAATTATAAATTGTAAATATATATATTAAGTTATATTTCTATTTTTAATTAATATTTGTATATATTTGGGTACCTATTCGGTTCTCAAATCGGTTCAGTTCGGTTTGGTTATTTCGGATATAGAAGTATAAGAACCGTTCAGATATTTGAAGGTTTCAGTCCGATTCCGATTTCGGATATTTCGGTTTGGTTCCGGTTCGGTTCTTTGATTCCGGTTTTTTTGGCCTAGGATGAATATTATATTATTTTAACACACAACTACAACTTAACATTAACTTCTTTTCGGGTCTGTTTATTTAAAGTTGGTTTCTTTCTCCTTAATCAATGGAGGGTTTGTGTTTTGGTCTGTTGACTCTTATGTCATTTTTTTATGTTGTATCAATCAATATCACCTTCTTCGCTTTCCCCAAAGCCGTTATTGTTAATTTTAGTGTGCTTTAACTAGATGCTCTTTCTTTATTTCAAATCAAGTACCTTCTGTTTCACATTTTCTTTCCTCTTCTTCTCTTTTTCAACTCTCTCCCTCTGAACATCTGTGCCTGTGAAGGTGTTTTTAATTAATACTTTTAGATCCTTACATTCCTCCTGCCTAAATTCAAACTGTATTAGCTTGTTCAAGTTCCAGAATTGTTCATTCGGGTCGAGAGTTGTGCTCCTCCTCCATCATAAAGTAAGGAGCTTTCTTGTTGTACCCATTGTTCTTAACTTGCTCTGTCAGATATGAAACATTTCGAAATTTTGGTTTCCAGTTGAAAGTTTTTGTGTCCCAGAGACAATAATAAAGATGTTGACTTTACATTTGTTGGGTTTTGTTTTGTGTATGGCAGTTACTGTCGAACATGTTGAGCGAATGAAGTATAGTTTCATGAGATGGGTTGTGTATTGGGGAGACCCGTTTCTTCGTTAGACTCAGTTTCTGAGTCTAGACACCAAGTCAGCACGAGGTTCGAGTCTAAACGGAAAGAAGTGAAGGAAGATGAGACCATTGTTGTTCCTGGAGTTGATGAGATTAAGGAGGAAAATGAAAAGCCAAAAGGAGAAAGTAAAAGGTCTAATAAGGCTGACCCGAGGAGAAGTAATCCGCCAAAGCATCTGATTGGTGAGCAGGTGGTTGCAGGTTGGCCATCTTGGTTATCTGAAATCTGTGGAGATGCTCTTAATGGTTGGCTTCCACGAAAGGCTGATTCTTTTGAGAAGATTGAAAAAGTGAGTATTGCTTTTTTTTTTTCATCTTCTTGCAGGTTGCTTTTATGCTGAATGATCTGTGTGTTTTGGTGAATGTTTGCATAGATTGGATCAGGAACGTATAGCAATGTGTACAAAGCAAAAGACTTGTTGACAGGTAACATTGTGGCGTTAAAGAAAGTGCGGTGCGATGTCAGGGAAAAAGAGAGTTTGAGGTTTATGGCTAGAGAGATTTTGATATTGAGGAGATTGGATCATCCAAATGTAATCAAACTAGAAGGTTTGGTTACTTCGAGAATGTCAAGCAGTTTGTATTTGGTGTTTCGTTATATGCACCATGATCTTGCTGGTCTTGTCGCAAGCCCTGACATAAAGTTCACCAAGCAACAGGTTAGTTTTAAAACGTCTCAAAACAAAATGAGTGCTTCTTCTCTAAAGTGTTTTGACTCTATGAATTTTCAGGTTAAATGCTATATGAAACAACTGCTCTCGGGTCTCGAGCATTGTCACAGCAGAGGTGTGCTTCACCGTGATATCAAAGGATCAAACCTTCTTATAGACGATGAAGGAGTTCTCAAAATTGGTGATTTTGGTCTTGCAACTTTCTTTGATCCAAGAAGAAGGCAACAAATGACAAACCGTGTGGTTACCTTATGGTACAGAGCACCAGAGCTTCTTCATGGTGTTGTGGAGTATGGTTTTGGTATTGATCTATGGAGCGCAGGTTGCATTTTAGGCGAGTTACTTACTGGTAGACCCATAATGCCAGGTCGAACCGAGGTTTAGCTCTCTGTAACTTTTAGACTGACTTTGATTTTCATTTCAACTAGATAAAGCTTTGAATATGTTATCTTTGTTTTGTAGGTAGAGCAACTGCATAGGATCTATAAACTATGTGGATCACCTTCAGAAGAATACTGGAGGAAAATCAAGTTACCTTCCACTCGTAAGCATGCTCAACACAGGCCATTACCACAGTATAAGAGGCGCATAAGAGAGGCTTATAAAGATTTCTCTCCTGAGGCAGTTTCTCTTATGGATACTCTCCTTGCACTTGACCCTGCTGAGCGTAAAACTGCAGCATCTGCATCAATGAGTGATGTAAGTATCTACGAACTTACATTGCAAAAGAAAGGTTGAAACTGAATTTTTTTTGTTTATTTTATGTGTTGTAACAGTTCTTCACAATGTATCCTCTTCCGTGCCAACCTTTTGATCTCCCCAAGTATCCACCAACTAAAGAGATTGATGCCAAGAGACGAGATGAAGAGTATAGAAGGTAATACATTTTACTTGAATGTCTTGAGGGATTCATGTTATTGAGTTCTTGCTGCTAATACCCTTCTGCAGACTAAGAGAAACACGTAAAGCACACGAGAGTGGAAGAAGGAAAACAAGACCACGAGAACGAGCTGCTAGAGCAAAACCGGTTCCAGAGGCTAATGCTGAGGTTCAATCTAACATTGATGTAAGAGAACACTACTACTTTTTTATCTTACCATGTTTGTTCAAACATATCTGAACTTTTTCACTTCACAGAGAATGCGAATGATCACTCACGCAAACGCAAAGAGCAAGAGTGACAAGTTCCCTCCTCCACATCAAGACGGTTTGCTTGGTTATCCAATGGGATTGTCTAGGCGTTTTGAGCCATCTGAGATACCTTTTAGCTCAACTTCGTTTACTTCTTACGCCAATGAGCCTCTCCAGATGTGGTCTGGTCCTCTAGCTCCAGTGGAGTTTACTGACATTGCGGCTGAGACGCGGAGGAGTGGGGGCTGCGGCAACGGTAGTAGGAGGATGGATGTGAGGGTTGATGGAAACAGAGCTATTTTATGAAGATTCCTTTTATTATTATTACATAGAACGTTGACAATATTTGGATTTGAGTGAAGAAAAGAATCTTATATATTTTTATTGAAATTTATTTGGTACAATTTAAATTAAAAACTGCAAACAAGAAATTATTAATATACTTGACAAAATGTACTGAGAAAAGAATCTTGTACATCCAAAATCTATTTTATTGTGTGTTTCACACATATTAAAACATATTACATTTTTTGTTATAAATGTATGTTTATTGTTAATAACGATTTTTATAATTTTTATAAATAGTTTATTATTTCTCATTACTAACTAATATAACACACATGGAAAATTAAATTTTTGAAACAATTTTTATAAAAATTATTGTTAGAAAACAGATGGAATATATTTTAATTTTTATATAATACTCCACATTTTGAAATGAAAACTGCAAAATAAGAAAAATATCAATAGCTTTAAGAAAGTAAAGATTTTGTGGTTTGAATATGAATTTAATTCGAAATTGCAACTTTGTTTCGACGCTAAATTAAAATCGCCAAAGCCGAAAGTGTTTCTTCAGAGTCGGCTTAGTCCTTAATTACATGATAAATATTATTCTAAAAAGCAATTACATCTCTCTAATAAGTAATAAATATTAGCATTAGAAACCTCATTAAAACCACACCAGATTCTCTCTTCTCTCTCTCTCTCTCTCGCTGTTTGATTTTGAAAAGAAGTTGAAGACGCGTAGGAGAGAATCTTCGTTTAGGTACTTCGACGAGTTTCTCAAAAAGGGGGAAAAAGCATCTCTCTCTTTCGCCGGAAACACAATGGATGCTACCACCAACAACAACACCACCGCTAGTAACGTGGCTCAAGCGATTCTCGCCGTCCTCGATTACAACTCCACTCCCGATGCTCGCAGAGCCGCCGTTGCATTCCTTGAATCTGTAATCCTAAAGACTTCACCTTTTTTTTTTGTTACTTCTCTGTGATCGATTTGCTTGTGGGTATTTGGTTGTGTGCTGGTACTTGATACTTTGTAAAGGTTTTTAATTTAAGATTAAAGGTTATTGCTTTACCTTTTCTGGTTTTAGGGTTTTGGTGGTTGTGTGCTGCTGGTCTAAGTGTTATCAGTTATACTTTGCTTGTGATACTCTTTGGTGAATGCTAAGGTTCTGCTACTTGATGCTTTGTAAAGGTTTTAAATTTACCGTGATCTTTTGCCTAGGAACTAAATTTAAGATTAAAGGTTATTGCTTTTGCTTTTTCTGGTTTTAGGGTTTGGTGTTTTGATTGTGGGTTTAAGGTTTTGATTACTAGTGATCCCTGCCTTTAATGTTTTCATTCAAGTTCTTGTTTTTACCTTATGGATCCTCTAAGTGATGCATAAGGGTCGTGGATGTTTCCTTCAACGCCAATTAGAACATGTTACTGGTTGGAGAAAGGTTTTTCTTTTGATTGAGTTGAGGTTTTAGTACGCGCAGATATATTGTAATATCTGTGTTGAACCTAAATTGGGTGCATCTATCACTGTTTTGGACAGCACGAGTATTTCTTGAGTACCTGAGGGTTTTATGAGTGTCTTTGCATTTGTTTTTTGATTGAGCTATTCATGATCTGTTACCTTGCAATGATTGCAGATTAAATCTGGAGATATCAGGGTTTTGGCACACGTTTCCTTACTTCTAGTGAAAAAGGAATGCTCTTCAGAAATCCGTCTGCATGCCTTCAAAATGTTACAGGTATTGGTTTGGAATATAACTTTATCATCCGTTAACCAACGTTGCTGAGTTCAACTGAGAAAGTTTAGATGTTAATGCGAAAGTATGGATATAGAATGCATGATATGTTGAAGGTCATATGCTACCAATGCTACCTCTTTTTCGAAGTTCAAAATTTAATATGAATTGTTAGTTTCTTAATTGTTGGGAGAGAAATTCACTTTGTAAATATGTTTTCGTATAAAATGAGATAACACAGACTCTTTTTCCACTGAATATTTGGGTAACAAGTTGAAATTTGATGGGGTTTTTTTTTAACATTCTTGACACGCTCACTTTTATGACCTTATGTATGCTGTAATGAGATTACCATATCAATATTTAAATTCTGAGTGGACCCTATGCGACGACTCATTGCAGCATATTTGGAAGAGAATAGTAACTTTATGATGTAGCTATCTTTCTCTTTTTGCAGCATCTGGTTAGACTACGGTGGGAAGAATTAAGCCCCTCAGAACGCAGGGATTTTGCTAAGGTCTCTGTTGACCTAATGTCAGAGATTGCTAATCCATCTGAGGAATGGTCTCTGAAGAGTCAGTCAGCTGCCCTTGTAGCTGAGGTAGAAGCTCATATTTGTTTGAGTTTCACCTGCTTTCACTCAATTTGTGTGGATCACTAATGTGTCCATGTTACAGATAGTTAGAAGAGAAGGTCCCGATCTTTGGCAGGAGTTGTTTCCTTCACTAACTTCCTTGTCTGCACAGGGCCCATTACAAGTAGAATGCTTTCTCAATTCCTTTAATTTGTTCATTTCTTTAAGGCAGACATTTAAAGTGTTAACGAGTTATCTTAAAAACCAGGCTGAAGTGGTCTCAATGATGCTCAGATGGCTTCCTGAAGATATTACAGTTCACAATGAGGACTTGGAAGGTATTTAAGAGTGGAGTTGTTTTAATTGTTATCGTATTTTTCTACCTGTGGGTTGACGCTATTTCAGGGTTGTAGTTTTGTTCATGCTATAGTTAATGACGTTGTGATAATGCATATTTGCTAACCTTTGAAAAAACTCTATTTTATTCTAAATGCAAACATTCGGTTGTTAGCTCAGTTGCGCATTTTGCAACATGACACCTTAATCTAGATAGTTTTATTTTCTTATATGATTTATTTCATATAGATGTTTAGGGGAATACATGTAAAATATCTCTAACTTTCTGCCAAACTTTCTCTTCAGGTGACAGGCGTCGGCTACTGTTGCGGGGACTTACTCAGTCTTTGCCTGAGATTCTACCTTTATTGTATAATGTATGCCACAACTTTGTCCACTCATATTAAATTGTTTGTTGTAACGGTTCTGTGATGCACTACTTAAAATGCAGCTTCTCGAGAAACACTTTGGAGCTGCAATGGATCAAGCTGGTAGGCTACAAGTTGACTTAGCTAAACAGCACGCGGCTGTGGTCATAGCTTGTTTAAATGCCATTAATGCATATGCCGAATGGGCTCCTGTGTTAGATCTGTCTAGATATGGAATCATTAACGGGTAAGATTACTCATGCTCATGCAGAAAATATTAAACGACTATCTACATGGGTAGCTTTCTTGCTAAACGTGCTCCCCAAATTTGTAATAGGTGCGGTGCGTTACTTTCCTCTCCTGACTTCCGTCTTCATGCTTGTGAGTTTTTCAAACTTGTCTGCTCAAGGTATGCAACTGGGCTGTTTGACCTGATTTCCTTAAATTAAGACTAGTAGACATTTGAAAAAAAAATTCCCTTTCTGCAGAAAAAGACCCAGTGATGTTTCTGGTACTGAATTCGATGCTGCGATTAGCAGTCTGTTTCAAAGTCTGATGAATGTCTCCAGAGAATTCTTATACAGATCAGCCTCATGTGCTGGGGGTATCGATGAAAGTGATTATGAGTTTGCTGAGTGTATATGTGAAAGTTTGGTTTCTTTAGGCTCAACAAATCTACAATGTATTGCTACTGATGGTGGTGTACTGGCTCTCTACCTTCAACAGGTACTTACATCGTTGTGGCAATTATTTTTTTAATTTAAGTGTTGAGTTTCAAGTTCTGTATTATGCTATGTAGCTGCACTTTAGTTCATGACGGCCATGTCTTTGATCCTTAGATAACGTAAATCGGTTATTTCTCATACTGAAGTAACCTTTCGAAAGATTGGTTATCTTATCTTAAATCATGTTCCTCAATTAGCTGAGTCGAAGTACTTTACTAACATTCTGTTGCTATGTGGTTTATGGCATCTTTGTTTTATTATGCACTATTATAATCTGTTAGTTCTAACACTTGTTTGACCTTTTTGGACTGTAGATGCTTGGTTTCTTTCAACACTTTAAGTTGGGTCTTCACTTTGAAGCAATGCTCTTCTGGCTGGTATGTGAATTCTCTAATAACGACCTTTTCCAGTCCTACCATCCATCGAGAAATAAACCACAGAGACTTTAGAACTCCTTTGTTGTGTCTTGTAGGCATTAATGAGGGATTTACTTACAAAGCCAAAGGCTGCCGCTAATCCAAGTGGAGAGGGACTAGCAGTTGGTGGCATTCAAAGTTCAAGCCAAGTTGATAACGAAAAGAAAAAGATTTTAGGTCTTATTAGTGATGACATCGCTAGCACAATCCTGGATGTGTCTTTCCAGCGGATGCTTAAGCAAGAAAAAGTCCCTCCTCGAATTGCTCCTTCTCTTGGACCTTTAGAATTGTGGAGTGATGAGTTCGAAGGCAAGGGAGAATTTGGCCAATACCGATCAAGGCTTGTATGTTTCCCAGCCAAATGCATTGATTTGTACTTCCCAGACAACAAATTGACCAGAAGCTTGTTTTTTTGTTTTGTTTTGGTGCAGTTAGATTTGGTCAAGTTTATTGCTTCTCACAAGCCCCTTGTTGCCAGTACTAAAATATCTGAAAGGATTATCTCCCTCATTAAGGATCTATTGGCTTCTCCAGTGCCTCTTCAGGTTTTGTTACAAAGACTTGCTTTTGTCCTTTGAGATTTTTTAACAACATGCATGGGATATTCCGTCATTTATGTGTTCGTGTTACAAATGTGTATTTCAGGATGTAGCAGTGTTGGACAGCCAGCAATTGGCTTTTGATTGTATTGTAGCAACGGTTTTTGATGGATCCAATGAGTTTGCCGGTGGTAGTTCTGATGTTCACTTTTCATTGCGTGGAATATTTGAGGGTATGTGGTAGCATATTTTATATCCTTCCAGATTTTATCGATTTTGTCACTTTCTAATCCCTCATTCATTCATTTTTGGATTGTTGACTTCACGAGCAGCCTTGCTTCAGCAGCTTCTCTCATTGAAATTGATCGAGCCAGAACTTATAAAAATGCATGGGCATTATCTGGATGCAATGGGTCCCTTTCTCAAGTACTTCCCAGATGCAGTTGGAAATGTGATCAACAAATTGTTTGAAATGCTTACCTCTCTTCCACACATTGTCAAGGTTTGTTTCTGTTACATATTTTCAGTGTTGAAATTTATCCATGGACATATGCACATGTATACATATACAGTGTCTAGCGTTAAGGAGTAATTGAGTTTTTAACGCTTGTTTCCTTGGCAGGATCCAGCAACTAGTACTTCCAGAATCGCAAGATTGCAAATTTGTACGTCTTTTATACGTATCGCTAAAGCTGCTGATAAAAGTGTTCTGCCTCACATGAAGGTAAATCTGATCTCTCCTTCCTCCCCTTTAAGGACCATATACAAAACAAGGCACCTATAGTTACTCAGATCTTAAGGCTAGAAAATTACCATGTGATTTGATAAGCATGTCCGCTCTGATATATGGATATATTTTGGAGACCACGTGTAGGCAAATTTTTTAAGCCGGTTGTTTTTTTGCATGAAATTCAATCAGAGGTGTCTAGTTTGTTCACCTGGTTCGAATTAAAGCAACATAATAAATATTGTTGGTTCATGAGAACTTATTTTGTGAAGCTCGCTTATTTATGATCAGTAGACTATCACTTATTTGTGTCGCTCGATCATAATTATGAAACTATGACCATTTTTGTCCATTGGGACAGCCTTGCTGCACAATTTTTTCTTGTATTGTTTCACGTTTGCTGTTCGGAATTTCATTTTCGTTTGATACAGTTTCATGTTAATTTTCATTCTAACTTCGTACTTTCACAGTCGATTGCTGATACAATGGCATATATGCAAAGAGAGGGAACTTTGCTCCGTGGGGAGCATAACATTCTGGGTGAAGCATTTCTTGTTATGGCTTCTGCAGCAGGGTAATGTAAAGTTTCGTTTGTTGCATTTATCCAGCATCAGATATATCATGTTCTTACATAAGAATCTAAATTTCGTGCAGAGCTCAACAGCAGCAAGAAGTTCTTGCTTGGTTGCTGGAGCCACTGAGCCAACAGTGGATCCAGTCAGAGTGGCAGAATTGCTATCTATCAGACCCTATGGGTCTCGTTCGTTTGTGCTCCAACACTCCCTTCATGTGGTCGTTGTTCCACACGGTTACATTCTTTGAGAAGGCACTCAAGAGAAGTGGACATAGAAAAAGCAACTTGAGTACGACCTCAGTAACAAGTCAAGATTTGCATCCCATGGCTCATCATCTTTCTTGGATGTTGCCACCTCTCCTAAAAGTATGTATATCTTCCTTCAAAACATCGACACCCATAGCCAAAACGCAATGAAGCTTGGTTGCTGCCAAAACCTGATCAGGATATTTTTTTTTTTCAAAGACTAACATGATAACACTCTTTTTTCTTTGTTTGTCTAGCTTCTCCGTGTTATTCATTCCCTTTGGTCTCCCTCAGTATATCAAACACTACCCCCAGAGATGAGGGCAGCTATGACAATGGCTGATGTTGAGCGATACAGTCTCCTTGGGGAAGCAATTCCTAAATTTTCAAAAGTCTCGTCGGTTTATGCTGATGGCTCTTTTGATGGTGGTAAAGAAGGACAAGCTGAGGCAAATGAAACTGATGTGCGAAATTGGTTGAAAGGTATCCGAGATAGTGGGTAAGCATCTATTAACCTCCTTTAGGCCTTACACAGGGCATTTTATCTTTCTTTCCGTCTCCTGTTTATCTTAAACTTTGTGTTGTGACAAACATTCTCTACATGTGCAGATACTGTGTGTTGGGTCTATCAGCAACAATCGGAGATACATTCTTCAAATGCCTAGATGCTAACTATGTCGCAGTAGCACTCATGGAGAACTTACAGGCAATGGAGTTCAGGCACATGCGACAGCTTGTTCATTCCTTTGTAGTTTATGTAGTAAAATCTTGTCCGGCAGATATGTGGGAGTCATGGCTTGAAGTTCTCCTACACCCATTGTTTGTTCATTGTCAGAAAGCTATTAGCTCCTCTTGGGCCAGTCTTATGCGTGAGGGAAGAGCACAAGTTCCAGATTCGTTTGGTGTACAAAATGGGCCGGACATGAAACTTGAAGTAATGGAAGAAAAACTGCTGAGGGATCTAACTAGGGAGATTGCCAACCTCCTTTCAACAATGGCTTCTCCTGGTTTAAATCCTGGGCTTCCTGTTTTGGAGCATTCAGGCCCTGTGGGACGTATTGACGTGTCTGCTCCCAAGGATTTACTTGCATTCAGATCCAACTCTATGGTGGGGTATGTATACTGTTGTTCTCTCTTTCCAACTTTGCTTATTAACTTTTGGCTGAAAAGAGAGTTAATAATGTATCGTCTTCGCAGTTTCCTCCTAAATCACAAAAACGTGGCTCTCCCCGCGCTGCAGATCTGTTTGGAAGTATTTACATGGACAGATGGGGAAACAACCACCAAAGTGTGTTGCTTCTGTGGTGTTGTTGTTCTTCTAGCGATCCTGACAAATAACTTTGAGCTCAGAGACTTTGTATCAAAGGATTTGTTTTCTGCGGTCATTAGAGGCTTAGCCATGGAGTCAAATGCTGTTAACAGTGCTGATCTAGTTAATCTATGCCGTGAAATATTTATTTATCTCTCTGACAGAGACCCAGCTCCTCGCCAGGTCAGTTTTTTTTTTTTTGGTATTGATCACAACTTTTGTATACTGTATTGTAAAAGCTGACTCTTGAGTATCTCTGTTTGATCGTGGTATCAGGTTTTGCTTTCACTTCCTTGTCTCACACCCAATGACTTGCGTGCTTTCGAAGAAGCTATGGGGAAAACTCCAAGTCCCAAAGAACAGAAGCAACTCATGAGGAGCCTGTTGCTGTTAGGTACAGGGAACAACTTAAGAGCACTTGCTGCTCAGAAAACCATGAATGTCATCACTAACGTCACTTGTAAGCCTCCCTAACTCTCTCATACACCATGGTTTCACATCGATCCTCAACTTTTTGACATTTACAAAAACTTTCCCTGCCTCTAGTGAGGACACGCGGACCAGCAAATACTTCTGAAGCTAAAGAAGATGAAGGGGAAACAATCGGGCTGGCTAGTGTGTTGTGAGGAAAAAAAAACCATTTAGTATGAAGCTAAAGAGAGGCAGGATTACAAAGTTGTGCGGTTGTGTAAATTATTTAAGAAACAAGATTTTCCTAGAAGTTTCTTTATATCAAACTTGCCTCTGGAACGTGATTGTCACTTCTCTAGAGCATGCCCTTTTGTGTTGTACACAATTTTAGACAAAGAGCTATAAGTCTGGAAAACTATGCGTAGTAGTGTTTACCTTTCAAAAGATTAAATCTATTTGCACTCCAAGATCTAATTTATACTGTAGCGCAACAAATACTTTTGAAAAATGAGAGTTATCTACTTAAAAATAGTACATAACAAAAATTAGTCTAAGCATAAATAGTTGTTGTAGTAGGTAGCTACCATGAGTTCCACAATAAATTCCTTACACCCTAGTTCTTCAGATCAGCCACAAAGTAGGTTATATCGACAGTTGAGATTTAACCATTTGTGCTAGTTTATATGCAGAGAGAATACTCTCTTGTGTGTGTTTGTGTGTTTGTGTGTTTTTTTTTCCCTCTTCAGTGTGTTTAAATAGTGAATCTTTGTTCTGTTTCACTCTCCATGCAACACGGTTCTCTTTATTTAACGTTCGTAGAAGAATCTCAGACCTTTAACTTCGGAGCTTCGATTTCTTTTTTTTTTTTCTTCTTGGGTTTATTTCCCGTGATCACGTACGCTGAAACACCCGAGGTAAACAATTCATGGCTCACCGTATCTTTCTCTTTTTGTTGTGTATTGTTGCATGCAGTGACGGAACTAGGTGGGGAGTGGGTGGGGGCAGCTGCCCCCATGTTGGGATAAAACTCGAATTATGCAATAGTCGGCCGAAGGACAAACGAGTGAGCGACCTAAGCTATTGATTATAAGATATAGCTTTAAATACCATATTTTATTTATTTTTCATGTTTCTTAGATTTCTTTGTTAGTATTTCTATATATGATTTAATTTATATTTTTTATAACAGTAATACTTGTAAAAATAGCATTTTTAATGGAATTTTCATTGATAAATATGTTGAGTAAGTGTATTGTTAAATCATAGTTATTTCTTACATAGGAAATTCGATATTAACAAATGATTTTAATAAAATTATGATCGATTATAGTCAAATTTAAAGATAATATTGACTAACATTTTATACAGTTAACTTCATAAAATTATCTTCATCAATCGTTAATATGATATAACTAATTTATAAAGTTTTGATGTAAGTTAATTATAATATAATATAATATATATATATATATATAATATTGAATAAAAACTAAAAAGGCATGTTCGTAAAAATTTGTTTAGGGCATCCACAAATGTTGGACTGATACTGTATATTGTTCCCCGTTAGTTTTTAGGGTTTTGTGCTATAGAGGAAGATTATGTTTAAATGGTATATGAACGATCCTATGTGTTTGGTATGGTATCACGAGTTTTACTTTCTAAAATTCAAAGCAAAACTTTACACCTTTTCTTAAGAAAAACAAAACATTACACCAAAATTAGTTTTTAAAGGGGCTCTAGTAATAAAATTCATCAACTAAAGATGGATTGTGAAAAAACCTCTCAACTAAAAATTTAGTGAAATAAACTCTCAACTTTAGTTTCGTTAATGCATGTCACCCTCTGTCACGGAATTCTAGATGGAGGGTGACATACGTTAACGGAACTAAAGTTGATCTATTTCTCTAAATCTTTAGTTGATGGTTTAATTTTGTTACGATTTATCTTTAGTTGGGGGGTTTTATTACTAAATACGGTTAAATATTTTAAAATATTTGTTATCATTTATTTATTATTTAAGAATCTTACAATTGATTTATAAACATTTAAAATAATTTATATTTTTTATATATTACTTTATCAATTTTAACCTATTTATAAAGCTTAGTAAATATTTTAATATTTTTATAAACTATTAATAGGTTTAATTTTATAAATTTTTGTGTGCTATTTCTTATGATGGAATAATACATGATTTTTTTTTATATTACAAAGTAGAATGATAAAGTTTTATAAATGAGGAAACACATACAATTTTCTTATATTAATACTGTCATATATCAAATAATTAAGATTTTTAAGTTATATAAAGTTGTAGGTAGTGTGGAGGATATTTAATTAGTTTAGAAATTCAACTTTGTTACTTAAAATATGGCAATGACTTTTTCTCCTCTTTAAACAATTTCAATTTGATTCGTACTTTTTTCTATTTCATAAGAAATAATGTAGGATTATTATTATTTTTTATTTATTTCTGAACCAATATGTTATACTCCTACCATATTAATCAATAAGGTTTTCTTGTTTTGTTTATTTACTTCATATTTTTGTAGTATGACGAATAATCACATTTTTAATTTTATAAAATCATCATTAAACTTTAATAATAATTTCTAAAAAGTATTAAATGAGAAAGCTTTATAAATAGGTTATAAAATTGATAAAGTAATATATAAAAAATATAAACTATTTTAAATGTTTATAAATCAATTTTAAAATTCTTAAATAATGAATAAATGATAATAAAGATTTTAAAATACTTAACCGCATTTATAAATTTAGACGTATGGTAACATACATTAACGGAACTAAAATTGAAGGTTTATTTCACTAAATATTTAGATGAAAGTTTTTTTTTACGATCCATCTTTAGTTGAGGGGTTTTATTATTAAAAATTTTTTTTTAAAACATGCACGACCTTATTCTAGGTGATATAAACGCAAAAGTTTATTAACTAGAAAGCTGAAGCAGAACTATATGTCATACATCAACTCTTTTTGTAGTACTTGTGTTTATTTAAAAAAGAAAAAAAAAAAGAGCATGATGTCTCGTGCAAACGTTGGTGGTCCTGCTTTTGTCATTGTCATGGATTTACTCTTTTGAGCTTCATTTTTCTCACTAAACCATGTCTAAATATTTCTCAGCTCGATAATTAAGTTTACTGTTATTGTTGTCTATTTCAGGTTTCAAGTAAAAAAAGCAGTTTTTCCGCAATAACGTGACTAATATGCTTTTTGGTGCTATTGGAAGTTCTATTTCATGCACTGTCATAACTTTAGGTGCTTGAAACAGGTTTAACTCAGTTCTTTAAGAAGTTGGACATTGGAACCTTTGACTTGAAAAATCCCCCTATATATTAAAAGAGAAATCATTTAGTGATTTCTGCTTATGTGACACTCATAGAAGATACTCTCAGAATAATTCTCTTAAATTTTATTGGTTGCTTTTTGCTAATTTCTTTTTGATTTATTTTTAAATCGGCAGGGAAGAGTTAACCTAGAACCACTTAATTTAGGCTTTCAAACACTCTCAACGATAAAGTTAACCTAGAACCACTAATTTTAGGCTTCCAAACACTCTCAACCACTTATATAAACTATTCACATACATTACTACATATATATACGAATAAATTATATTTGTATATATAAAATATAATTTTGTTTTTCAACATGCGATAATATATTTTCATAAACCTAAATTGTATGTGATTTCTTATCCTCGTAAGAAAAACACACACATACATTTTATACTAAAATATGTTAAAAACATATTGTTAGTAATAATTGTTAAAAACATATGTTAAAATCACTAAAGTGACTTCTTAGTAATAATTACTTATCCTTTATATAATTATTGTTAGAAAAACACACACATACATTTTATACTAAAATATGTTAAAAAATTCACTAACATATAATTATGTATTAAAATGATTAATAGATTATAATTATTTATTAATAAATTATATTTTTTTATTAAATATTTACCCACCAAAAATCCGCATTCAATTAAAAATTATTTAAATTAATCGTGGCTAAAATCTTACCTTATTACAATATGTGATTATACATTTCTTGCGCATGTAAACGTATCTAATTTATTTGATTATTAAATTTATCAAATTTGTTAATTCCTTCTAATGACTTACCTTATTTTAATAATACATATGTTGTACAAGTTGTAACTTTCTTTAATCTATTTTAATTAATTTTTAAATCTATCAAATATAATAATTTATATTAAATGTCTTACCTTATTTAAAAACTACATTACTTGCACAATAATGAAATTAAGCCAAGAATATTAATTGGTCGATCACTAATAATTTACTAACCTTACTAATAATTAATACATGTATTAATAATTTTTCTTATTAGATATTACTTGCGCAAGAGTATAAATTAGTAAAATATGTATTAATAAATTTCTTTTTTACAAATACGGAAAACAATTCACTCTTGATATCATATTGATTATATTGTTTAGTGAGATTTATCGATATGTATCTAATTAGGTTGTTTGTTATTATTAACTTACCTTATTAATATTGAATATACAATTTCTGATATATAGTTTCTATATACAGTTTCTCATATGATTAATCGTATAGAATATATAATATTCTCAATAATTTATTAGAGAATATTATATTTATTAGCTTATCATGCAAGCTAAATCATTGAGAAACGTCCACCAATTTACTATATATATAAGACATTCATAGTATGAGAAACGAAGCCATTGAACTTTTTATTCTGAACTTTTTATGTTGATACTGTTTTTGTTATTTTACATCATTAAGCTTTTATATATACATATTTCATCAGAGCTGACTTTTCTTTTGGTTTATATGCAGATGCTCTATTATAACGATTTCACCACAATGCATGTAATTTTTTTTATCTTTCTATATGATTTGATTAATCGTAGATCTATTTGAATTCTAATTCTTACTTTTTTTTTTAAATATGTTCGTAGGTATTATCTTTCTATTTAATGATTGTTTGTTAGAGATTAGAAGGAGAAGAATGCTTTCATATGTATTTTTCTATTGGCTTTTTAATTTACAATTGACGTTTCCTCCTGTGGATCCATATGTACTTAAATTTCTCTTCACATTCATGTTATTCAGAGACATGAACATTACAAATGATCATATCATCCAAAACACGTAAACTACAATGTAAGTTTCATGCTTTGTTACTTTCTCTATGTTTTTCAAATAATTATTTGCTTATACACTAAAGAAAAACAATCTTTAATCAATATTTTATTATAAAAGTTAGTATAACTTTTTATACATTTTATCAACTTTGTACTCAACTATGATTTTATACAATTTATCATATTATAAAATGTATATCCTATAAATTCATATATGTAAACTATATAGTTCTTTTTTGTCATCTTTTTTTTGTCATCATAAACTATATAGTTCTATGTCAATTATAATATAAATTTATACAATTTATTACATAATAAATTATGTATATAATTCAGAGTTAGAATATGATATGTGTAACATTATTGTATATATTTCTAATACTAATGTTAGAATTAAATCGGTTATATACAAATTTCTATATTAAATATAAGTGATAAAACATAATTATTATATATTTCTATAGATTTACAATATATAAAAATCAAAACTATTTATTATTCTTTAATTTTATAACCGTATTATGGTATTAAGAAAGATATACCTTGTTGGTAAAGGCTTTTAATTAGTTTGTTAATAACTTGCCTTAATTTATTATCAACTACTTGCGCAAGTTGATACGATGATTACCTTATTTTGCCATCAGTTACTTGTCTTAAATGGTATGTTAATTATTGCAAATTTATGACAGTCAATTTTTAATATCTTTCTTTAATTGCTTCATGTTTATTAAAAGAAAACAAATATTACAAGAACCATAAGACTTTATATATCTCAAGAAATGTCTTTACAAGAATTTTATAACAAATATTTCAGGAACCATAAGACTTAAATATAAAATATGATTATTAATTCATAATTATTCTTGAAATTTGATATATTCTGAATTTTTTATTATATATAATTCTAAACGAAATAATCTTTTTAGGAAGTATTTTTTTAAATATACATTTAATTGACAAATTTAGAAGTTAAATTTTCGTGAAAATATAAGTCTATTAAGTAAATTTCTTGTTCTTTTATGATCTCATTTATTAGTAACTATATACATGTGATATTGCATCAAATGTGTATGTTCTTTATTTCCTAATTAGTTAATTCATAAATATGATGATTACCTTATTTTGCTATCAATTACTTGCAAAAATTTATATGATAATGGTGATTTGAGTTAGAAAAGCCCAAAACTATTATCCATTTAGAAAATCACAAATATAATGTTGATTTGAGATTTAGAAAAACCAAAACTATTATCTTTAGTATATTTATATATATATATATATATATAAATATATGGATCTTAAAATTGTAATTTAATATATATATATATATAGATTTGTTTGTTTTTCTATTAACAGATAAATAACACAGATGAAAGACCGTTTGTAGTTGACTACAAATCATTTTTCAGTTTGTTTCAATAGTGATATGCAAATTCAATATTATTTTTGTCTCGATAAAATTTAGAAATCTATTAAATTATTTTATACTGTACAATTGCTAAAAACATTGACAATTTTTTGCAGGTTTCTATGGCATTTTTTAATTCATAATTGTTCTTCTTATTTTATATTACTTATGAATTATATTTAAATTTTTATCACATTTTCTATGGTATTGTGATATCTAAGAGATTTTTATCACATTTTTTAATATGTCACTGTCTCCTGTATATTTTTCTTACATTTGTTTTTTTAATAGTTAACTTTTATTAAAAACATACTAATGATGTTAAAATTTTTTACTTTAGTTAACTTTCATTTGTTTTATTCTTATATACTTTTGTGACTTTTTTAGTTTTTGTTTCAGTTTAATATTGAATTTAGTTCACATACTTTATGTGTATATGTTTTAAAACACAATTTTTCTTTTAAAAAATTATGCGACAAAGAGCCTAATTAAACCGATCCAAAAATAAACCGAACTGAATATAAATTGAATTGGACATAAACCACACCGAACCAGACTAAATAAGGTTTATTTCAGTTGAAAAAAATATATTAAAACCGAACTAAACAAACCAAATCAAAAAAGTAACGATTTGCCCATCCCTACTGCATCCTAGAGATTTGCGCAAATCTTGTCTCAACATTGAAACTCTCACTTGTTCCACTAACTCCCACATTTGAACTCAATAGATACTCTTGTCTCAGCATTATACTATATTTTTATACCCACACAGGGTGCGGACGGGTCACCTAGTCATAACCTATATGCAAAGTGATTTTTGTATACCATTTCTGATAGTTTATTTTATCTATTATTTAAATATATTATTATTCATCCTTAATTTCTATTTGTTTTTTTAGGGTTACTTTTGTATGGAATAATAGGTGGTGATTGGTGAAATTTTGGTTTGATTAAGGTTATTTTGGTATTAATTTGCAACTGTTCTAATTGTTGTTGGTGTACTATGTGTTATAGTTCTAGTATTTGGACTTTTAAATTTTTTACTTCTTGTAATTTTCTAGTAGTTATTTGTTTAAATAAAGTAGAATATATATATATATATATATATATATATATATATATATATATATATATATATATATATGTTTCCACTATCTTGCTAAGATTAAAAGGTTGTGTGGTAGAAAGTTGGTTTTCTTTATGTATAATATCATTTAGTTTTATAAGATACTAGAGATTTTTCCCGGGCTACACCCGAGTTTTTTTCCTATATTTTAATTTTGTTTAGTTTATTATAGAGTATATTTGACTACATATTCTATACTTCAACTAAATAATCTATATAAACTATTAAAAATTGAAGTTTTTTGTATTATTTTTGGTGACTAAAATTATAAAATTATTTATTTTTCAATATCAAAATACATATAAGTTGGTAACCAATTGAATATATTTTTTTAGTTCAAAGTCAATTATTCTTTTAACTTGTTTATTTGAATTTTAAGAAAATGTGGTTAATTAACATGTAACTCAAAAAACATTTTTAACGTTAAAATCAACGAACATATATTTTTAAATTTTAATATTTATTATTTAGTATTTGGTGATAGTAAATCTATATGAATTCGTTCTTAAGTGCTAAGGCAGTGATGAAATGAAGAAGAATTGAAATCTAAAAGTGATGTGTTTTTAAAAAATCCTGAAATTATGTCAATTATTTTTGTTTCTATGCAGCAAAACAAAATATAATAATTAATATATAATATTCTCTAAGAGCTATTTTTATGTTCCTTAGTTTAATCATTAAATGTTCAACTAATGATTCTAACATTACATAACTGGTTAATGTAAATCAAATAAATACATTTGGTTCTAGCATTGTTTTATTTTTCCTTATATCTTGTTTTATTATTTTATAGTATGTTCTATTAAGTAAAATACATTAATTATATTATATTTTTTATTATGGACAGATTTTCTTAAGGTTTTATATTAATTTATGTTTATATAAAAGTTGGTTATATGGATTATACAATAAATATGCATATCAAAATTAAGATAAAGCCAATAGTATTTATAAATTAAAATCTATTGTTCTCTTGATGGGTAACTAAATGTATATATTTAATTTACATTAACCAGGTTGTGCATCTTTATCGTAATCTAACATTTGTGCCTCTCATATTTTGTTTTTGGCTACGGTTTATTTTTTCCCATAGTTTTGATTGGTAAATATTACTCCAAAAATTATTATTCCATCTACAAAATTTTATAATCTTGTAAGCTGGAATTATAGATGACTTTTCTAAATTTTTTAAAATGAGAAGAAAAACATGAAATTGTACATGTTTCAAGAACAATTATATATGGTCAAAATCTACGCATAGCAGGTTCTTTCTTCTTATTCTCCAATTTTGTAACACATTTTAATGTGTCTCTCACTTCTTAGCGGACTCAGAACATGTAGATGACACTGTCGTGGATCCTCGACTTCTGGTTCTGTGCAACGCATTCGGATATCCACATCAGGTTCCTGATCTCCTGCTCCCTCAACCTCATATACGCAAAGAACACCCTGTAATGGAACTGCAAAACTCAGGTTTAAATCTACATAGTGAGTATACATGAATTAAAACCCAAATTAACACACGACGTGTTATGCGATTTGACTCTACGGGTCTTTAATGTATATGGAAACAAACCTGCTGCTCAAAGGCTAAGCAAGTCCAGCATCTGGCTCTCTCCATATGACATCTTTGAGAATATTGCTTGGTAAGGAGGATACTTCTCCATAACACCACGAACCTAATAGAAGATCATTGTTCTTGCTGAGCCAACTTTTGTAAATTCCTAATATATTATAGCTTGCGGATTTACCTGATCTATGTCTTCGCAGATAGCAAGCTCCTCATGACCATATGGATATCTGTTTAAAGAAAAAATCAAAACCATAGTGAGAAAAACCTTGTTCAGAGTTTTATGCAACCACTGAATGGAATTTATCGTTTGGTTTAAGAATGCCTACAGGAGACCATAGTTGGAAACTCAGTAGTGTTTGGTTTGAGCCTCCTTTGAGTGTCTATGCAGTGATAAACATTCCATAACTCCTAAATCGTAACGATCAACTGTAATGAGTTTAAGTGACAATACAGCGTATAGTTTTCTCTTTCCCAAATATGTTTCTTTCCACTGTAGCAGTTCTATTCCCTCAGAACAACAACTAAATAGTGTGTCATTCCCTTAATCATGCTTGACCTCTCTCCCTTGAATTGTCTGGTGGCCTAAGAGTGAATCAACTCAGAGATGGAAGGTAGAACTCTCACTCTTACAACCGACTCAACACCATAATCACTCTCCATGGTCTCGTTGAATAATAATCTGCCACAGTGCAGTACCGGTCCTGACATGGGAAAGACCCGAAGCAATTTTCAAAAAATTGGCCATTTTTATAAGAACGTTTATATACTACTATAATAATTTTCTTATAAAAAAGGCTGAATTTTTCAAATATCTTTTGAGGGCCGGAAACGGTTGCTTGTAATGCTTCCCCTCAGGGCCGGTACTGCACAGTGAGTACTCGTATGATCTCTGAAGTTGACGCGGTGATAACCAAATGAAGTTTAGTGTTAGCCACCACAAGCTAACATTAGTTTTATCCTTTTAAATTTATTTGTGTCTTACGACTGTGTTTTCCAATACCTACAAAGGACATAAATATATCATATATATATATATCTCTATAATATTATTTGAGAAGTCAGTTTCCTATGTGTCGCGCTCACGTTGACTCTTACACTGGTTGATTACTATGATACCCTTGATGAATATATTTAAATAGTATATTTAAATAATATTATTAATTTTATGTTTAGTTTCCTTTTTAAAACATTCCAAATAACTTTTATAATAAAAAAGAAAAAAAATATTAAATTTAAAAACGAAATATATGTTTATATAATATTATTTCATTAAAAAGGAAAGTTCACAAAATAATAATATACTATCAAAAAAGTAAAATAGTATTATTAACTTTGTATTTAGTTTCCTTTTAAAAAATTATAGTATATTTAAATAATATTATTAATTTTATGTTTAGTTTCTTTTTTAAAACATTCCAAATAACTTTTATAATAAAAAAGAAAAAAATTATTAAATTTAAAAACGAAAATCGATGTTTATATAATATGATTTCACTAAAAAGGAAAGTTCACAAAATAGTAATATACTATCAAAATAATAAAATAGTATTATTAATTTTGTATTTAGTTTCCTTTTTAAAAATTTCCAACTAAAATTTATAATAGAAAAAAATCTATAAAATTTAAAAGGAAAAAATTAAAAAATGAAAATATATGTTTATATAATATGATTTCATTAAAAGGGAAAATTAACAAAATAGTAACATCCATTAAAAATATTTTAAATAACACAAAATGTACTTTTTAATTAATAAAATACTTTCTTTATATCTGTATTTTCTTATATGAAAATATATATTTTTATATAATGTGATTTCATAACAAAAAATTCACACATATAATTTTGATATTTGAAAAAAAAAATTTACTTTTAAACATAATTTTAAGTAAGATAAACAACTATATGTTTTTATTAACTAAAATAGTTTTTAATTAAAATTATTGAATATTTTATTTATTTTCATATATTTAGTTGAATAGTATCTTTCAACTAAAGCAAAAAAAAATCTATAAATCAAATTTTACTTATATAATATGATTTCTCAAATACAACCACAATTTTTACTGCTTATTTTTAAGAGAAATTAAAA